TCCCCCCCGCCCCCTCTCCCCAGCGTAACAGATTATACAAGATGTGCCTCTGACAAAGAGTTGTCCACAAAGGGCCATAACTCTGTTTAAGTGGCCTACAATATCCTAATTCAGTGTGCAACATTTACCACTCCACAAGGTAATCACATACAAAACTTGACAATAGTAGGAGACAAAGTATGGGATATGTCCAAAGTGACACACAGACTGGCAGAAAGACTAAGAGAAAATCTGCCATCCCTTTAGGAATTGCCATTGGGGGACAAATAAGGTCTGTCCATAAGACCAAAAGGTTACTATGAGATAAGAAGAGAATTAACAGATGTCGGAGTCCACCGTAAAGAAGTTTGACCAATATACACTGTATTCAGTTGTATTGCTAAAACATTATTTGCAGTAAGAAATGGTGGCACCTTGTTCATGAATGAGTACATGTAATTCATACTATCATTTTGGAACTGGGATTTTTTTTTGATTTTTTTTTGATTTTTTTGATTTTTTTTTACTATTTTCAGTTTTTATTATATGAAGACTCAGAATGAATTTCTTTTTTTGTGTGTAATTGTTTATTTTTCCAACTTTTTTTAACATACATAAAATCCTACAATCAAAAGATCACTATCAGCATCATCATAAAAATGCCATTCATCATGATTGACAATTATATAATATATATAATCTTCATAATCATCATCATCATCATCATCATTACTGTTATCAATTATCATCATCATTTATAATTATTTGTACACTTATCATCATTCATCAAATGTCACTCATCATCACATCATTATAGTCATCATCTTCATGTCATTATTCGCATCACTATTATCAACATCCATCATCAAATGACAATTTAATCTAAAGACATTCATCATCATAGTTTGTCATTTAGCGGTGGCATTACATCATCCTCACAACTATTGCTATACAAATACATACCCTCACACACACACACTCATGTTTCCCGTTTAACAATATATTCAAAGTCAAATTAAAAGATGTGTACCTGTCTGATGAGGTAGTGATGCATACAGAATTCACTAAAATCAAGTTGTTTCTCAACCTCACCATCCAGGATAGTACTTAAACTGTGAAAGTATTGTACTTGCTGACTTTTATCCTAACACTTACAAACACAATCTGATCATCTTACATTCCATCTTTTGAGCATAGAATTTGTGTTATATATAGAATCTATAGAATGTTAAGTGCTGTCTGTTACCACACTGACACTAAGCTTGAAACAATTTGATGAACTTTGTCATAAGATGAGAACATGGATTAAATATTGTACCATAACTATTCTACAAAAAGCCTGGGGGCCAACACATAAAATCTGACACAAAAAAGGGGGATGCATAGGCTTATTCCATGACAATGAATAACATGTTAGCATTTTAATGGGGGGGCCTTATTGCCAGATAAAGAGGAATACTTTTCATCTAATCCAAATCAGGCACAAGGACCTGGGATCCTTGCCTCTGACCTTGGTAACCACTGGTCCCTCCCTTAGAAACATAGTTATCCCTCAAGGGGGTCTTAGCATCTCTCCCTGGTAACTAATGGTACCTATCTTCATGGGATGCTAGCCTGTCTCCATGGTAACCACTGGTAACCCCCCCCCCCCCCCCCCCCCCCCCC